GGTCCCCCTTCTTAAAAAGAGGGACCACCACCCCGGTCTGCCAGTCCAGAGGCACTGTCCCCGACCACCATGCGACGTTGCAGAGGCGTGTCAACCAAGACAGCCCCACAACATCCAGAGACTTAAGGTACTCAGGGTGGATCTCATCCACAAGATGTATTTCCTTAAAGGATAAAGTGTATGGCTTGAAAATATAAATGATTCTACATTTACTTTCAATGACCATGCCATTCCAGCAATGGGACAAGCATACAGCCACTAAAAACCTGCAGGTATATTTGACGTGTAGTTTTGTTTTAATGAACAGCTTCACTATCAGCTATCTTCACAAATGAACATCTTAAACAGGTCTGTGGCTCAGACTCAGTTAGAGACTTATTACTGGAAAATGGGGGTAAAAATGCATATAATTTCAAAACTAAATGTAATTATAATGTAGTTACAGAACTCATCTCTCTCTCATTTACACAGTGAAATGAGGTGTACCACTACCGGCGGGGAGGTTAATGCTTTGCTGAGCAACAGAGCAACCAATCATCTAACCAGTCAGTTGTTTGGACCCTTGACCCCTGAGGTTGATTGACGTGGATGTATCATCCCAAAATAAATATGCCATGAAATTAGTCTACAAGTATATGTTCAACATTCATTACAACATAACAGCTAAATTCTCATTATTTAATTTATTTAATAATAACATTATGATCCATCTAGTATTTGATAGGGCCTTGCTCTTAAAAAAATTAAATTAAAACATGAGGTTTACACACCCCCCGCTAATAATTTTGTGTACAGTTCTTTAGAATACCTGATCAGTATTGATTGGCTTATGAGGGATAAAGAAGACAAGGTGACAAAGAATAATTAAAGAATAAACAACAGAGGAAAGATGACAGACTAAAGAGTGGAGATAGAGGAAGGCGGTAAAAAGTTACAGAGAGAATTTATTGTTCTTTTGCTGCACTGGAAGCACACTTCAACCTACAGTCCCCATTAAATACGACGCCTGTCTGTAGTTTTACAGTATGTTGTACTGTATAAAATTCAGCTCTCTCATCCCCTACATAAAAGCAGTCAGCGGGTCTGGTTTTTAAGGAGAATAAAGTGAACACAAAGGAATTCCCTGTCGAGTTGCTGCAGAACAGAAGCAATAAAATCACCGAGGTGGGACTTTCTGAAATGGCTTTGACTGTAAAACCATTGGCTGCGATTCAAAGTCTTTATCAGTGACCGTGATGTTGACATGGCTTCCTTTTAATGACACCTTGTTATATAGAAACAGCTCAGCTATAACAAATAACATCAACCTACAGTATACAAGCACTTTTGATGTGTTTTAATTGAAGACGTAACGAATGACAAAATCATATTATCCATCACTGAATCAGATCAGCTGTTTGGCTGTGGTGGGCAGCTAGTCATAATTTAAATGTGTCATGTCAAAGGACAGCTGGCTGACCGAGGTCAGGAGTTCAAGCTCTGTGATCACAGGTCTGAGATGCTGACACTGACCACCACCCTCCCATACTCACATCTGCTTAGTATTGTAAAGATAACCCCTCCTGAGTCCTCACTTACCTCTCTCGCTGGAGGCCACAAGCTGGCAATACAGTAGGTCAGTGAAACTCGTCATGTGTCTTGTGTAATTGTGTCTGTATATCTATGTGTGTGCATGTGTACTGTACTTACATGTCTGAGCCATAAATTTGTTTCCATGATCTGATTCACCTCATCCTGCAGAGACACAGAGAATGAAGAGCACTTGTTAGCTAGGTGAGCTCTGTGTGTGTGATTAATCTTGAGAGAGGGACAGTGTATTGTTGGTACAGCATTTGGTAGTGCACTCTAGTGGAGTTTTAACATAGCCAGGAATCAAAACCCACAAGATGTTTTTAAAGAAATGCAATTCATCCTCTAATTGTCCTCTAAAGCACAAGCTGATTGACTGAAACAGCTGAAATGGTGAGTTAATAGGATGAGAAATTTCATAAATCACTTTTTCACTACCTTTCATTGTGACCCTAATTTGATTTTGATTTGTCCTGCGATTCTCAGAATTCAGCCAAAACCAACCTATAGGAATGCATCAGCCATATATATGCATTTACACAAGCAGCCATGTTTTTACATTGATCTCACTTTGCCAAGCAAGGAGTTATAGCTACACATACTGGTCCAGTCTGAAAAAAGGCGCCCGCAGGCAGTTTTCTCTTAGGCTAAGGATTTCCATTCTGAACTGACAACATCTTTTCATTGGCAGGATGTGCAGTAACCCCCCACCACCCCCCACCAGTGGTAAACTTAGCATCGCCAAAGCAGTAAAGCAGTGTACAACAACACCATGATATTTTAGGAATATCAAGTTAATGAAACTGAACAAACTAAATAATGAGGGGGTTCACTTTTTGCTTGCGCTTGTCTCGTTTAGCATCTTATCTTTCAGCTTTACTCTTTCAAATGTAGGAAATGTGATCAAGGTGAACATGAGAGGATGTTTCACAGTTCAGACAGACTCTCACATACAAGGATGGAGCAAGGATGCTCATACACAACTGTAAAGCAGAATGAAAAGAATGTGCTAAAGTACTGTGAACACCTTTGTATGTTTGTACATGTTTGTGTAAGGGAGGTAGCTTACAACTTTGACCAGCTGCGAGATGGACACCTCAAACGCCACAGTTACAGGGTCAGAGACATTCTCAACTGGTCTGATAAACTGGTTATATCTTCTAAACAGCTTCCTGAACAGCCGGTCCTCTGCTTTAGATGAGAAGCACTCTGATGAAATGGAGACAAAGAGGAGAGAAGCAGAAATAGGAATCAAGTGAGAGGACACTGTGAGTGTGAACAGAGGGAGGGCACGAGACTGCAAGACAAAGCTACTGGAAAAAAAATCCAACAATTTCAGTAGAAATCCTCTAAGAAGTCATAGACATTTATGCAAGGCTAACAGTGGCAGTGCGAATCAATCACAGATTTAGTTTTAATCAACTGACATTAAATAATTTGAATTTTCTGAACAGACAGGAAAACAGACATCAGCCTCTTCCATTTTTAGTGCAGCATCAAATTAGTAATGCTTCTCAATCTGTGCAGTTTATGTTTTATCATATCTGATGAGTCATCATTAAAAAAGTTTCTTTAGATTAGTTGATATCTCCTTTGCTTATATCATTAGAGTCTAGTGTGAACAAGTCTGTGTTGTGAGATAACTTTTATAGTGTTTCCTTTTATGACTGGGTTGTTTTCAGTGAAGTAATAGCGTTGAAGAATAATTCGTCTTAAAGCCCAGGGCAGCCATGTCCAGCCTGAGTGGTATGGCTGTATCATAAACAGCTGGTTTTCTCATTTTTCTTATTATCATTAGGGAAAATGGTTCTCTCACAGAGACCATGAGAAAGAGAAGAACATCTTCATTCAGGACAGAGATGCCTCAATAACCTTGCACCCTGAGCTGCGTGACATGACATGCTTTAGTCTCACCATCTCTATTTTAATATGCATAAGACTACTGTTATTAGCTTTCCAAGCCCACAGTGTACACCCAGGAGGCTGAGACAGAACTTCTCATACTTTTAGAATCTGACCTACTGTACCATTCATCACCACTGTTCCTTCTGCTTTTACAAGTGATTTTAAACTACTATTTAATAAAGAAACCATGAAAATGGAATTCCTCATCATTCCAGGCAAATTTTAGACAGGTATTTTGATGGTGTAAAATCACAGTGGAGTAACTTACACAATGTTTCATTTTTGACTAAATTCAAAACCACTGAAACTCTTGGTAGCAACTGACTCAGATGTTTCTTTTCTTCTCTCCTCCTAATGCCAGAGCAATACTGTATCCATGGTCCCCTTTTTTGTAGAATATAAACTTTATACAGACAAAGTCTACAGTATAATTTCCTCACTTATGCCTCAAGGTCAAGGCTAAATGCTTTGAGGAGAGCTTCAGTCCAACATGGATGCATTTAGTTTAGCTTTGCTTCTGTGCTGTTCAGTGAGACACTGTCATTAGAAACCATGGAAACATACCTGAGTTCATGAATTCTCAGACTAATGCTACAATTCATCATATAGGAGTAAACAATCTCTTGGCTGGACTATCTCTTTAAAAGCCCCAAGAGTGATACCATCTGCTTATTTAGATAGCGTAATGGACAGGTGGTGTATTATCATATCCAAGGCCTCCTGGAATAGAATCCCATTTAAGCTCAAATATAAATCTACCATCTGACTGGAGATAAAACACAGTGACTAGTGTGTCTTCTTCTGTTCTCCTAACTAGTAGTAAACATATACATGTATATAGGTCGGTGTTGACAGGTGTGGGAGCTCATCCTGTCTGAGAACATGATTACAATTATTATTATAATTTACCAAAATATAGGTATGTGCTTGGCTAGACGGCTGTTTGACTGATGTATATACAACCAAAATAGAAGGTTTTATTTACTAATTATCCAGGAAGGAGCCTAGAAGGCCTGAGGCACAACATCAGTATGTCTACCTCTTGGAAAATGCACAGCAAGCTATTTTAACGTAGCGCAGAGGAGTTGCACACTGTTGCCTGTAGCCTGGTGATGAAGCACTCAAAGTTTTTTTTTTTTTTGCACAGGTGAGGCATAAAGTTTTGAGGAGGACAAGCTGCTAGTTCTACAGTTTTCCTCATTTTCTGTTCCCATTTCAAATGTTTCCTTACTGTATACAATAGGAATGCCATTTACCACTGAAACACTGGGGCCTCCGAGATAATATAACGATGCTAATAGGTTTATGTTATCATGTAAACACCAGTACATATTTGCCATATTATTCCAAAATACATTCAAAATCCTAATGGATCACTAATGCTGTGTCAGAGCTGTATTCATTTATGGCTAGTGCAGAATTAATATTTACTGCTGCTGCTTCACATTGAAAGCATTCATCTGGCAAAACATAGCATGGCTTTATTGTGAAGCAGTCACAAGAAATGTAATATTCTTTGACAGCTGATCAGTTTTAGAGTGACATACTGTAACAAGAGGAAGCTGCCACAGTGAGCTGTTGGATGAAGAGCTGTCAATGACAGGCCAGACACCTCCAGCTCCTCAACAAGATCACCAGTTCACTGTGCCCTGCTGTTGTGTGGGGGAAACTACTTTGTGAAGCATAAAAGCAGTTAGTTTTTAGACTGACTTGATTTATTTTTACTTCTTTAGTAAAATCACATGGGGTGGCTGTGTAAAACTGCAGTTGCTATAACCAAGGTAACATGTAGCAGAATTTTGAGCTCAGTCAATATCTTCCTGAGTCGTACCTTGGGAGTCATACTTAGGTTTGCCATTGAAATTGTCATGTGTACAAGTGTTTTATATGTTCTAATGAGAAGTGGTCAATAAATAAATACCACATTGTTTTCTCAAGGTTGTTGGATGAAGGAGAATGTGCAGGAACGAGTTTGACTGGATGGATAAGCAGTGTAAAAACAGGATAGAAGAAAGAAAGTAAAGGAAGAGACAGACACACTATAGGATCAGAGAGACAAAGAATTCATTCAGGAGAACATTGCAGCACACCTCACTGACACTGGCAGATTTTGCCTTGAGGTGCTTCTGTTGTTTTTTCCCCTAAACTCCTTTTAAATACTATCCTCACTTGACTAAAATCAGACAAATTCAGTTTAGTGTAGTTAACAAGAAATCTCCTAATTAAAATGGACATGTTGGAGAAGGCCTTGAAATCCTAATGATGAAACAGTGCTGACCTTGTTACATCAATATTTCTCCATCAAAGCCAAGAGATAACCCTCTACATGCCGACATCAGTGACACCAGAAACCCAGCTGGTGCTGAACCCCTGGTGACAGCACTCCGGAGAGAATGACAAGAAGGCAAAGACAAACAAACAAGACAAGACAAGGAGCAAAGATGGACAGAAAGGACAGTCTTCCTAAGATGTCACTCAGAAGCTTGTGTGAATCCTGGCTTTGCAGCCTTCTGTCAGGGAGCTACCTGGCCGGTATTAATATTGTAAGATTGTTAAATAAAGTTTTACTCTAGCATGGGTGAATAGAGAGATAGAATACAATAAAATAAAGGGACAAAGGAAGAAAGGAATTAAACCACTAACTAAACCAACCCTTTGATTAAAACAGAATCCAACACTTGCACGCTCATATGCATAAGCACATACACACACTGGACAGGGTCAAATTCATTTCATGTTGAGAATCATAAAAGAACCAATCATGACAGAAAATGAGCCACAGGTTCTACTCCTTGTCATGTAGATGTATCACCTTTAAACTGCTCCAGTTATTAGCCCACCAGTCTCACTTGTGAGTTTTCACTGACTGCTTTCATCATGTTACAGCAGGATTACCATATCACATGCAGAGAATATACTTGTCCAGTCTGATTTTGAAAGCCAAAGGCCATCTCATTAACTAGCTACAATCTGATGGTCACTGGGTTATTACACATTGATTTTTGTTTTATTTGGTCATAATTCCTCTCACCTATACTCACCAAGCTAACGTCTGTGTCAGCATCACCCAGAGAGAGTCAGTTGGAGTAAGAAACACAAGCAGCCAGATGTGTTTAATTGGCAACATAAAATGCACAGACGTTGCTAATAACATTAACAACAGCTCTGTGCTATGCAAGTGTCCCAGGAAGCCATGATAATGTGACACTAAGCCAACATGCACAATATCAGGACCCTGAAATTAAAGCAGCTAAATGCAAGTCCGCTCTGAATTCTGTTAACACCTGTGCCATTTGGCTGATTTGTATTTTTTAAAATATTTTGTTAGTGTTATAAGTAGAATTTTGTTTGTTGTTTTTTTTCAGGCTAAATATTTGGCCAATATTTCTGATACTTATTTTACTCTTCAACCTAAATAGGCCATTTTTTAGCAAGCTAACATTAGCTTTGCCTCTTGGTTCATTTATTACACAACACTGGCAGTTACTGGATGTAAATATTTGGTAACTACTAATTTCTAGTTCATTTTGAATGTGGCCTGTTATTTGCTGAATAAAAGATGGTGCAAATGGTTCCTTTTTGTAACATTTCTGTACTGTTTTATCAGGTCAAACATGTAAAGCTGTGTCCCTTCAGCCATGTCTTTCCTTTCCACCATCTGAATGATTTGTACTAGCCCTTTTCTTAACATAATGACAGATGAGATGGAGCAGTCTTGGCATTGCTGTAGTATGTTGTTTTTAGCCATGACAGTCGATCTGTTGGCCCTGTTTTTATCTATTAGGCTGACATTTTTGGTACAGTAACTGGGGTATCTGGGTTTGACAAATCCAGATTTGGTACACCCATTGAAATATCTTTTGTGATGCTTTGACATTACCTTTGCCATCATAGTTTTTTTATTATTATTATTTACCCAATACTTTGGTTTAGGGCCAAATACCTGCATAACTAACTATTGTATGTTCGACCTCATCTGTGCATTTGTTAATTAATATAAATGTTAGAATGCTAACCTGCTAACCTAAAATGATAAACATAGTAAATATTATTTATTGTAGCAGTGGCATGAAAGCATTATCACTGTGACCCTGTTAGCATGCTGACATTAGCATCTCTGCCTACATAAGTTACAGTCTCACAGAGCTGTTGGCAAGGCTTTAGACTCCTAGTTGTGTTCATTATTGGCTGAGATTATCCTTCTCATAGGACTTTTTAAAAAGAAAATTACAAAATAATAAGCCAACTACATAGAGTAAAGAAGAAGAGAAGTAAGCAGCATATCTGTGAATAGATTAGTCAGCAGCAGGTACTCTACTTATAATGTACTCAAAAGTATGGTATCAATTATTCAACACAATGCGCATGAACTTGACCAACTCACTTAGAAAGTAAGGTACTTCAGATATACCTAGATCATGTGAGATATTTAATGCACACATGACCTGAAGGCTGGAGGTCTACTAGCATACTCTAAAACAAATGGTCTGGACATAACTTTCATATAGGATGATGATGGAGAGTTAACATGAGTAGAAGGAAGAAGGGAGAGAGCGGGGAGGCAGGAGGGGAAGAATGAAAGACAGTTAATAAGTGATGGAGAAGAAGAGACCATTTAATGGGCTGTTTTAGAGGATGCTATAAAACCCATTTAGCCTTGATTCACCCCTGAGCATGCAAATGCTTTTAAAGAAGTGTGTGTGAAAGGGACAGAGAGAGAGAGAGGTGGTTGAAAAAGAAAGTGTCTTTACTTTTACTTCTTATGGTGAACAGCAGGGTTCTGCTTGTACTGTTTGTTTTCCTTTTATACTGGTAAAGAGTTGAAATGACTTGAATTCAGCTGACAGAGATGAAACTGGAGAGAGAAAGTAAAGGAAGGGCAGCAGACTGCGGAAAACAGAACAACTGAGTGACACAATGTGAAAGGCTGATGACAGCGGCAGAACCTGAGTGATTTGGGGTGGAAAAGTTTGGGACAGTGGAGAAGGGATACAGGACTTGTGTGTGTGTGTGTGTGTGTGTGTGTGTGTGTGTGTGTGTGTACCTTTGTATTACTTACATTATGGGGACAAAAACCTGTTAACATAGTCACATTGTGGGAACTGGGCCAACTTGTTCTTTTCTTTTATTCATTCTTTCATTTTATTCAGATAAATTTTAGAAGATCAGCACATTGAATAGAAATTGCATATCTTTGTGCTAACATAAATGTAGCTTCCATGAATTTTATGTGATTATTTTTATCTGAAAGAATTATTCAGCCGTTTATGGTCCTGTATCTTAAGAAAGGCTTTTCCATTTAAAATTGTGTGGCAATAGATAAAAATGAGACCCTTTGGCCATATTCTTCCCTCAGGAGTTCATAAAATGCCCCCATAGACCATATAGATAGAGACATGTTGGGTGCAATGACGTGTGCTCATTAGGATATTACAAATATTATGCCGAAATACATATGCTATTACAAAAAGCGTTAAAAAGTGCATATGTTATCAAAAATGGTTAAAACATGACTTTGTTGATGACTGACTGGTTGGATTTGTTTTCATGACAGTACCTCCAAACTTTATACATTACAGTAAATTTGTGGAATCTAATGAGTAGGTTGAGTGGAGAAAGTGAACAGACTACTGCAGCACTGTCAAGCTGCAGTGAGAGATGTTCTCAACACATTTCTCTGTGACTCAGTTTGTGTTTGGCCACTCCCCCTCTGCGTCCTGCTCTATAAATGTTATTGTGATATAAGTCTTGTTACCGCACAGCTACACAGACACACGCCTCACTGCCACAGTTCACTGACTGGATCATCAGTCATGCATTCAAATACATGAAACATTAAAAGGGTGACCTCTATTTGAACAAACAGCAATGTGACTACACCCACAGGCTGCAGTAACACATCATCAGTGTGAAGACTACTTGGATTTTATACTATGTAGTGAGGACATTGTAGGACAGCGACAACATTCCGCAGTCCTCACTTTCTCATACCTTTTCAAATTTGAAAACTGAGACTTGGTCGCCAAGGCACACTTGTAAAAGAGGTCCTTAACCTCAAGGGATTTCCCCATGCATAAATAAAAGTTAAAGGAATAAATGGTTCAGGTTAGAGTAAGTGTTTAGTTTAAGCATTTCGTTGACATGGTTTTGGTTAGGCTACAGATCTATGGAATGCATTATGTCAGTGAGTGTCCTCACAGAATTAGCTGTACAATGTGTGTGTTCATGTACTGTTGAAGGCACAGGGGACCTCTGTGCATAGTATTTTCTATGTGTAAAACTGCAGGTCAAGTTACAGCGCAGTGATATTAGCCTGATCCATCCACCAAAATGTACAGTATTTGCCCTTTACCCTGAAAGCGAATATGATGTCACAGTTTTGTTATGGGTACAAGATAAATGTTGATCAGAGCCAACACAAATCCTAAATGGTGTGTGAGGGCAGTGCTGCACTTTATACTGTGTTCATGTAATGTTCCAAGTTGGTGAACATACCTTAAATTGTTTTCTGATTTGCAAGGACCAAGAGACAATGATGGAAATAAATGTTTATCACTTTAACATGTGATGACTCGGGTTCTTCTCTGGGGCGGCCGTGGCTCAGGAGGTAGAGTGGGTCGTCTCCTCACCAGAGTATTAGCAGTTAGATTCTCAGCTTGTCAAGTACACGTTTCGAAGCGTCCTTGCGCAAGACACTAAACCCCCAGTTGCTCCCGGTGAACATGGAGGGTACGTGACTACAATAAAAACAACTGAACATGCTCACCTTCAGGAACTATATATATATATTCATATACAACAACTTTGTTGTATATAAAGTGAACATGTACAAGAATTTGTAAGTTATCAGATTTGTAACATGTATGCAAAAAATCTGGTAAATTGTTATAAATTTTATTTTGAATATAGAGAGAAAACACACACCTCCAGCCAAAAGGTCATGTATGAAATAAAGATTGTGTGTGGAGGCTAATAAACTATGCAAGAACCTATCTGACACCTTCCTAAAACCAGATAACTGCTATTTATTTCCTTGCAGCAAATGTTTATGTTAATGCTTTGAAATGCCACAGCATGATTACCATCTCTGCATCTATTCCACACAGTGGCCCCAGGTCAGATACAGGCTCTCTGCCTCAGCTGCAGTCAGTGATTAAGTTGCTGGGTGAATTTCAGTATCAACAAATCCTTCTTTCCTTCCTCATCCTTTCCCTCCCTCCCTCCCTCCCTCTCTCTATATCTCTTCCTTCTTCCCTTTCTCCCTCCCTCTCTTCTTTCCTTCACGTCAGTAACAACTTCATATAACTTTTATTCATGCCATTTCGGGATAGCCTATATCAAAATAAGGTTATCAGAAGAACACTGCTGTCAGTTGTATTATTTTATATCAAATGCCTGCAGACTGCCCGTCTCTGACTAAAGACATCCTATCTGTCTTCTGTCTGAACAACACAATGTTAGTACAGGCCCATATATAACCTACTAAGTCTATCACCAGCCACAAACAGGGAGACGGATCCTATAAACAAATTCTAATCTGTTTTGGTTTCCTGAAATCACGGCTCGCGTCTCAAAGCAAAATTTGTATTCATCAAAATTCATTTGCCTTTTCCCGGATTCTTCGCAGCTCATTTTTGGCCCAGCTAGCACGATCACCAAGACATGAATGGGGCTTACGTCAGGATTATGTCGAGAGAGAGCAATACTTTAGACAACTTTGACTTCAGAAACAGCTATTTTGGCAATAAAGCCTTTGGACGATCTTTAACTATTTTGTCATTTTCAGAATAATAAAAGTGAAAAAGTCTCGACGGCCTTGTTGTGGTCTTCTCGCCTTTAAATGAATAAGACAAACTTAGCAGAAAAGCGTAATTAACGTAGCTTACCTTGCGCTATCAAAGCCAGGGGAAGAAGCAGCAAAGTCCATCTCGATACTGGGTGCATCTCTTCCCAGTGTCGTTTGAGGATCCCCTTCACTCTTCTTTCTTTCTTTTTTAACCGCGTCGATTTAAGCAACGAAAGAAAGAAAAGAAACGTGTCAAATGACAGGAAGACGTACGTCTGTCCCGTTGTGCAGCCCGTCTCGCTCTGCGGTGCACTCCTTCTAGATGGGATGCGAACCTGACTTTGCTCGTCCCTCCCCTATGAGCGCACAGCTCCTCTCTGGCGCATAGATGGACTCCCCACACAGGGAGGGAAAGCCGCCCTACAACTTGCTCTGACAGATAGGTGTATTTTGATTCTGTGGCTGACACTAAATAGGCGTATTTTGATTCTGTGGCTGACACTAAATGAAAATACACACATTAATAAGAATTTGAGTTTAAAGTCAGGAGGAATGTTTGGCATTGGTTTTAGTGACTAAAACAGATTGAGAATTATAAGCATTTCAAACTATATTATACCTTGTTAGAATTCGTCAGTTCCTCTCGGGCCGGATTTTCACTTGGTATGGACGTATCAGAAAGTTTTCGTGCAGGACTGAACGTTTGTACATACTATAGCTACTGTAGCTTGTGTGTAACATACTTGGCCAATAAAGGTGATTATCCTTATCCTGTAGCTACAACGGGTTGATTTCAGCACCTCGGACAGTGCCGGTGGGAGGCACCGAGCGCTGTCCGAGGTACTGAAATCAGCGGAGTATTGAAGAGTGTGAGCACTTTATTTAGAGATATCTCATGTATTATTAGTGGTTCACACCAGTTTTTGTCGCATTAGACTCAATGTTGAAAAACATATGTATGTTTTGAAGCATATCATAACGAGTTAAAGTTTTTTTTTTTTCGTTTATTTTAGGCTGTTTGTGTCACTGGATTAGAGGTGTATCGTTTAGAATTGTAGGTCTGCTCCGAAACATCGTTTCTGGCTCAATGAAACGCGCCGCTTTTATTCACTACTTGTGAATGCTGCTCCTCAGGTCACTGATTACCATCCCCTAGATCAGGGATGATTAAGTTTAATTTTAGCCAGTGACTTTCCACGCTTGGTTTAACGTCATCAAACAAAGTAATTAAGGAGGCCATGCTTTGTCGAGCTGAGCTGAGCTGAACCGAGTCCAAACCTTTCAGTGTGGAGAGAGGAAACCAGATTGCAAATGAGGGGTGTATGTTGTTGAGTAAGCAAGAGAGAGAGAGAGAGAGAGAGAAGAGTAAGCAAGAGAGAGAGAGAGAGCGATTTGTAACGTTTGTTATGTGTATAGTATATAGTAGAATTGTGTATAGTGTGTAGAACTTGAACATGCACTGATGACGTTCCAGTATATCCAGTTGTTTTGTTAAATAATATGAAATGTATCACATACAATATCAATAGGTGTAGTGTACTGACAGTCTTCCAACAGTAAATAACCACTGGCCCACAGTGCCACCCATCCAATATACCTAATGCAATAAAATGAAATTTAGTTTAATTTAATATTATCTTTGAATTTAATTAACACGATATTGAATGCAGTGCAGAAGGAGACTTGACAAATTAACTGTAATGATCTGTGGCATATGGGATATAAACAATTTCAATGTTGGCAGCATATGTGTGTGTACATTGGCGCTTGTCCACACACTTTATGTCAGGATCTGTCCTTTGTCCTCAGCCCATATCACTCAGAACAAACACAATCAACCTTCATAACAATATCTGAGAATTGCTACAACAACTAGTACCCCCTCATTTCAACACAAGTGAAACCATCAAAACATATGCATCTCTTCTTCTCTTTCATTTTTAGTTATTGGACGGAGTGTATTGAGTCTAATCCCTGCATAAAAAGGACAGAATAAGCATGACAAGGATAATGTGATTTTACTGTTGCCAATGTCATCATCTGACAAGTGCTGAGCTCACAGTGTGGCATCGTGATGTTTGTCTTCACCAGCTTTATTAGTGTAGCGTTTAAGAGGAAAAACTTGGTGAAAATCAATGTTGCTGCCAAGATTGTTTAGCGTGATGCACCCCAGCCTGTCCTGCTGCCCTGCAATGGGCAATGTTTAATTCATGTTTTTCATAAAAACTGAATGCACCATGTCCAAAAGCCATTAGTGTCATTCTCTTTTCTCTCCACAGCATCATCTTTTTCACATCCTCTCATTTCAGCCCAAGAGTACAAAGTAACTTTCTTTATCAGTCGCTCTCTGTCCTCTATCAGTTTTCCTCCCATCTTTTAAGTTTCTCTTGCTATATTGGACTTTCTTTGATTGTCCAGTACATTTCTTGCTTTCCATGCTTTCTGTTGCCCTTCTTTCTTCACCTTAGACATCTCAAACATTTCCCCCCCTGCACCAACACATACTGGTGCCATCCTTCTGCCTCCGATGAAACACAACAGATTAAAATATCTATCTCCCTCACTAGAAGTTTTAGATCATGCTGAATTATTCACATCCATATATCTGCACCACATTTTTCCACCTCAAGTAATGAAATCTGGATGGCCCTTTTCATTCTCCCTGGCATGATCATCTCACTGAGGTAGGCTTAATAGAGCGGAGGAGATCAGAGGCTTCTGGAAACTTCCAGAAGGCAGGGAGGTGGATATCTTCCTTCATCATACAGTATGATAAGAAAAGAAATAACAGTTAGTCTGGTGGAATAATGAGGTCAGGGTTGCAACATGAACAGAGGTCAGACTCATCAAACAATAGTCTGTTCTACAAATGGCTGCATCCTAATGCAAGTCACAAGCATAAGTGAAATATGCAGTATCATGCTAATCCAATAAATATACATCACTACTGCACGTTGTTTAATTTACCCATCAGTAGGTATTTCATCTTACTTCTTTAAACTGACCTGCCAGTTTGTTAGATACATCTTGCTACAGTTAATCCTGTTTCATCCAATGCAAAGGTTGTGCAGCCTGGTGAGTTTGGTGAATTTATGTTGGATTGTATTTCAAATTAAAGGCTTCAAAATAATAAGAATCAGAATCAACTTCATTGGCCAGGTGTGCTGGACAAACGAGGAATTGACTCTGACTACAGTGGCTGTCAATATGTATGTACATATCCTTATGTATGGCAATAGCAAAGGGCAAGTAAACAATATAAGGCTGAGAGAACAGAAAGTAAAGAAGTAATGTAAAACATAAGGGTTGAAACAATACCTTTATCATAGGGCCTCAACAGAAAATGAATATGATACAGTATGTTTCATAAAAGAACAAACTCCAGATTGCTCCCAATGTTTGTGCATGGAGCAAAAAAGAAAAATCAATACAATGAATTGCAATTTATTGCTTCAAATACTATTGTTGCTATTGAACAAAGTTTTTTCATCCTGCAATTTTTGCCTCCTGTTTTGCCTTAAACTTTTAAAGAAGAAAATAATTTATGAAATCAACTCAACAAATCAACAAAGTGTATTAGCCCAGACTTTATATAAATTGAGTTTTTATGAAATGGTAGGAGGTTTGCCAACAGGAGCAGTCTTGTTCTTGAATCAGCTTAATGCACACACATGCAGATAAATGCTGGCAGAAACACATACAAACACACACCTACACAAACACATACTGTATGTTCATATGTTTGATTAAGGAAAGCAATAATTTGACTGACTCTGCCTACACAGGCCTATTGCTCTACAGTGCAGCTTTATACACACCTGACTGTGCAGCAGACCTACTGTACATAGGAATGACTTACATCAGCATCAGGTACAAGATTCTGCACTGAAGGCAAAAGTGCACATTGACACAGCAACATACAGGTTCATGCTTCTCGATTTTGTGCTGGTTTTACAAAACTAATTTCCTCTGGGACAATAAAATGTCATATGATCTGGTGCATGTAGCCAAAAATGGATTAGCTCATCCTAAGTGTAACTGCAATGAATCAATCAGCTTTTTAACCCTAAACTGTATATAATCAGTAGTTTGAAATCCTACAATTTGTGGCTTATGATAGTCTTTATATGAACACACACTCATCCTAATCCTGAGCTCCACAGGTCTTTGTGTGAGGGAACTTCACATCAGGTACTGTAAACTGATGGATTGTGCCAGCTTGCTTGCCAACATTTTGACTGTTACAGCTTGTGATAGCAATACGTACTTGAACCACAGGCAAGAGGAATACGTCAACAAGCTCAAAACCTCTGTTAGTACATTATAAGTGTCTAAGAGCATTGCACTTATTACTGTTGGCAGAGCTGGATATCTTTTATTCATTGCTGTGGTGGCAGAAGGGGAAGGAGAGCATAATTAGAGCTCAAATGTACCGTCAACAATGGGAATGTTTTTACATGGGTTGGATATCTAAAATGAACTGGAAAGCCAGAATTAAAACTTAGCTGCCAAAAAATGGACTAGAACAACTTGACGGTTTCTGTCGCAGCGTTCTGGACTGAAGAATAAATGGTATTTCTCTAGTTCAAAATTATTTATTCTAATTGTATCACCTATTTCAATTTCTTAAGTGTGAATGCTGCAGTTAGTTGATTTGCAGTTCCATTCTGGTACCAGCAGCCAGTAGAAGCTATAAGTCAGTTCACTGAATAGTACAACATGCAGGTTTAAGCACCCTAACATGAGTCCATCATGAATTCTGGTATCTGGCACTGTCCCATGTTCAAAGTTATTCAGGTGTGTAGCATGAACAAGGACAGATAATTGAGTTTATTACCGGCGTATTTTTAGTTTGCCATTTCTCCACATGCAATTTACAATATACAGAAAATGGGCAGGGGGGAGTCTGACAACAGAAACAGAGAAGGGAATAACAGACAGATAAGGAAGAGGAAAAGGAATGGAAGGAATGTTAATAAAGGAGAGACAAAGAGAGAAAGAATAAAGGAATGGGGTCTGGCACATGTACAAGTTTAGTGGAGTATGTGTGAAGGAGCAGTAATGTTTCCACCCTCAGGCACCAGTGATAGATGGAGCAGAACGAGCCCTATGGATGACTGCAGGGGTGCCTGACAGATCCTGCTTACTGAGGAAAGCGACTTTAGGAAACTTTAATAAAACAGGGAGCCAAGATTTTCCAGCATGATACATTTGTTAACACTGGCAAATATTGCAGGGCAAGAACACAAATCTGATGGTTGTTTTGTGGTTTGAGACAGCACGTCATGTTGATAAGTGAGCTGAAGAAACTGTGAAAGCTGGAGA